AATAATGTATATTTAACAGGAAAGTAAAACAATTTGCCTTGCCAGTTGTTATGACATACTTTACTACTCAAGAAATTGACATCAGATGGTATGGGGCAGCAGTAAACAGAAAGAACTAAAAATTTAATAGAAAACCTACATATAGATCCATGTATGTATTGAAACATGATATGTGGCAGAGGTGAAATTATAGAGCAATATAGAATAGGGTACTTTCTTATAGCAGCATGGCCTATAGTCCATACAGGCTGCATGCATAGAGCAAACTTAGTTTCATCTCTTCTTTCACCACAAATAAAAATAAAATTCTTTCAAGATGTTTGAAGAACTTAAATGTAAAAGACAAAGGTAGTCAAATTTTAAGAAGGAAATATAGGGGATTTTTTTAAAGAATTCCTTAGCAAGATGTATAAATGGGATTTTTTTTATAAACCCACTATCATTAAACAAGGCTAAAAGAAAACGAAAAAAAAACCCCATAAACAATCATTTCTTAGTGCTTAGCCAGGAGTGTGCCCTGAGAGGTGAAAAAGTATAATTAATCATAGCAAAATATATGCAATAGTTCTGAAAGTGAATGAGGTGCAGCTGCAGGCTGTAAAGGCTGATGAATATCAAAACCACAGTGTTGAATAAGAAGAGTAAATCACAGCATACATTAAGTATGATGCTATTCTGTTAAGTTCATAATCGTTCCAACTAAACAACACAAGGTAGAGTGGTCATATGCATTTTTACATGACCTATAAATAGCAAGGGAATAAAAAATTCACCAAATAGATGCTTTTGAGGGACAGGCAGGGTATTAGGTAATATAATTAGGGTTCTGAAGGTTTGATCAAGCTCTGTTTCTTAAGTTGAGTGAAAGGTAAGTAAGTGCCTATATATATTCATTAAGCTGTAAACAGATATCACATGCATTCAATTCATATGAATTCACAAAATACTTCTAATAAGTAAACAGCTATGAGATGAACTTCAGAATGTTCAGTGGAGAGACACTGTTCAAACAAATTGGCCTGAGTCAAGTTGTAGATTCTGAAGGAATGTTCATTATTTCTGAGAAGCTCCTCAACTGTTTTTGTTTGTTTTCTGTGATGCTGGGAATCCAACCCAGGGCCTCATGCATTCTAGGTTAGCACTTTGCCCCTGAGCTACACTATCAGCCCAGGTTGTAGAGCATAACATATAATTTGAGGCCTGGGGATATAGCTAGGTGGTAGAGCCACAGGATGCCCTGACTTTGAGCCCCTGAATGGCAAAACCAGGACAAAACCAAAGGGAAAAACTCATACTTCTCTCTGCCAACCTGAGTCCAGAAACTGTCAAAATGTTATTTGAATTTCATCAAGGAAGATAAAGGTTCAATTAGTAGAGCACCTTTTTTATCTATTGTGATGGAAACCATAATTTATACTAATTAATAAACTTTTAATATCTTCTTATAAGGGAAAAATAATTATGTGTTCATATTTCCAAAATCATTAAAAATTCAGAACAAATTGGCTGAGGAATAAAATGCAATCAATATATTTCATTCATCTGTGAAAGAGGTATTAATAATGACCCTCTCATAATATCTTTTCAATGTGCCCAACTATAATATAAATAATGTTAAGGTAATGTTCAAAGTATTATTAAAAGAAAACAATAAACTTGGAGGAATTTATAGCATTTATATCAAATATTAAGATCCATATGGAAAATGTGTTCCACCACATCAATAAGATGAATAATCACTGGAAAATATGGGCAAAGGAGATAGAAAGAAATATTCAAGTTGATAATCAATATGAAAAATGACCTCATCAACAAACCAAATATGCAAGTGAAAACAATGAATTAAGTGTCTTTATCTAGTAGGTTGCAATGAATTAAAATAAACAAGCAAACACATTAGCATAGTATTAGTCATGATCTAGAGGAACAAACACATGCTCAAGACAACTCTTTCTGGCAAACAATTTTAAAGTACCCATTAAAATCTTAAATTGCTTCAATCCAGAAACTCTTTTTATGAATTCATCTTGCAAAGATATATACTCAAAAGGGCAAAGATGAGTGCACAAATCTGCTTATTGCAACAATTGTAAGAGCAAAATAAAAAGATAAAATATGCTAAAGTTCTGTTAATAAATGGATCTGTTAAACAGAGGAAAACTGCAGCTGTTAAATTTCAATGTATGTGTGTATACAATGTATATATGTATACATGTATATGCCTATACATACATATTTTTTGCCATATAGGTCACTGAAAACAAAAGTGTATAACAGCATATAATGTGGACTCTATGATGTATACATTAAAGGAGCTTGAATTATTATTGAAAAGATAGATGCATATATAGAAGACATATTAAACTTTTAATGATTACATCCAAGAAGTAATATAGATACTAGCAGAAATTTCTGCTTATAAATTATGTATGTTTTTGAGATATATTGACCTGTAAATAGTATTTGATACTATTTACAGCAATGTTTTATTACTTTTGTAACTTAAAAATATGAATACTATTTTTAAAAGACAATGTTTTTCTCCAGAAGCTTAGTCAAGCTGATGAGTGAGACCTGCCAGGAAAAAAGATTAATGCTAGCTCTTTTAATACTACAATGTCACCAGCAAAACAACATGTGACTAAAGAAGTAGTCATTGAGCTGAGCAAAATTCTGGTGAAATAAAAGATATTGAAACCAACTAATGGAAATGCTGATTCTTATGTTGTACTTAAAGTGGCTTCAATCCCACCTCCTTCCTATCAAAGGAGATTACAACAAATACTAAGAAAATCAGGAAATAAGCCAGTTCACTGTTGTGAGGTACAAAAGGGGAAATGTTTTAATATTAAATTAAGCTAAACTATTTTATCCAAGTATATACTTTCTATCTTACAATGAACCAAAAGTAGAAAATCAAGCTGATTGCCTTAAATTGAGGGAAACAGGTGTATGACTCACTGTTTCTCTAATTCATCTTTGTGTATCACATATACACACACTTCCATACACAAATATATAAAATATTCTCCTATAAGTTTTTCTTCTTTCTTTTTTTTTCTGTTTTAATCCCTTTAGTTGTTTTTAGGCAAGTGATTTATCACTGAGCTAAAGCCCCCAGAATTTTTTTTTGTTGTTGTTTTTGAGACAGGGTTTTATTAAGTTGGCCATGTAGGCCTCAAACTTGCAATCTTCCTGCCTCAGTCTCCCCAGAAGTGGAGACTACAGACCTGCACCACCATGTCTGGCTTTTAGTTGGTTTATAACTGAATACTTGGAGGGTAAGGCCAGGGACTCTGGAATGTATGTGCATGAAGTTTCCTAAAAAGTGTCTCCAATCATGATGAGTATTTCTCATCTGAACCTTATTCCTTTACCTAAAGGCTGTCCCGTAGGTTAGCTGTGACTATTTCCACAGCTAAAATGTGGCTAGTAAAAATTAAGGAGCTACTAATGGATTTTGAAGGCTTTGAAAGAGCAACTGTAAAATATCTTGTTATTTTTATATTGATTACATGTTGATAAATCTTTAATACAACCACTTGATAAAATTGAAAACTCATTTTACTTGTCTCTTTTTTACTTTTTTTTTTTTAAATGTGTTTTGACATTTTTCAAACGAAACGTATGACTCACATATTTCCATGAGACAGTGCTGACATGGACAGTAGGACTGTAGTGGTCAGCAGACCTGACCCGGTCTTTCCTGGCCTTGTGACTTTGGGCAAATATTTTAACGTCTTTGAATCTCAGTTTTATCCTCTGGATTTGGGGGAAGACAGCATACCATCCTGCATGGGCAGTTTGGACACTTTAGTATGCGTATTATAAGAAATACCTTAAAAGTAACCTAAGGACTGTTACAATTTTTAGCTGGTGCCGGCTAAAATGCAGCATCTCAGCAGGGCCCGCAGGATCAGCTCCCCAGCCACAGCCCAGAGCACTTGGTGTTTGCTATAGTGTTGGAGAATTCTAATCCGGCGATGAGAGACTGCCCCCTGGTGGACTGAGCAGGGATGCAGAGGAGGAGGCCTATGCTCCAGAGCCGCGGGCACCAACCTCTCTGCTCTGCCCGCCTGGCAGTGCCTGGAGAGCTGAAAGATGCTGGAAACTTTCCCGCCATCCCATTCTTGACCTTCCCGCCGGAAGAGAGTCACCAGCAAGATCTAGCTTGGGCTGTGTCTAGAGTAGGGGGTGCACAAAGTGGGGAGGAGAGCAGGGGGGATGTGCTCAGAAAGACAGTGCTCAGAGATTGCTGAGATCAGCCACGACAGCCAGGGGAGCCCCAGGCAAAATTGAGAAATCGGTGATATTTGTTAGGTGCAGGGCTGTCACGGATACCTAATGTCTGGCTTGAACCCAGTGAACATTATGCAAGAGAGGCAGGCACTCTACCAACTGAACTATGTCCCCAGCCCAGGGACAATGCTTTTAATAATGACACTACCTTTAAATGTCTCATTGAGGCCATTGTTATCCCCATTTTGAGAAGGAAGAAATGGGCCTGGGAAGGGAGCAGGTATGAAAAGACCTTGCCACCTTTATTGCTTGGCCCTCCCTTTACTCCAGGAGTCAATGGAGAGTACCCTGCGTGGTGACCACCATGTGGGACTATTACAGGGTTAAATGATGTCAAGTAAACAGATGGCCTTGGTAAAACAAGTGACACCTATGAAATAAATTCTCTCAATCCTAGGAGCAATTTATTCTACAATACTCGAACCAAGCAGTAGCTTCAGCTATGGAGACCAGAGTCTTTGGCACGATTGAGCGGATAATTTAGGGATTCAGGTGGGGTAATTGGGTACTTCCTTAACAATACCATGTGGGTTACCTCCCATACTGAGTGTCCTAGGATCTGGGGATAAATAAATTGGCATGAAGGCTAATCAGCTTCTTCATTGAAATCTAACAGGCTTCCTTACACCTTTCAAATCACAGGACCCTGTACCTATCTCCCACCCTCATAGCTGTTAATCTTTGGAATGTCTCTTGAACAGATGCCCCTCCTGAGCTGCCAGTTCCTAAAGGGTTACCGGGAACAACGCTTGGCCCACTTAGTCCTGAGCTCTATTACCATGGGATATGTCTGGCAGGAAGGAGAGGCACAGCCTAAAGAGGTAAGAGGCAGAGAGATGCCTGTTCTATCATCTGCCTGTTCCTCTGCACCTGGGATAAGCTCTCTGCTTGGTACTATACTTTTTAAAGTGTACTTTCTTATTTATTTTGTGGGATATCCGTTGAAGGAGAGGAAAAGAGACAATTTAAATAAAGAATTACTTTTTTTCCTGGTAGGAAGCTAATATTCTTTTAGACTGATAGTCATATTCCCTTTTATTAATTAGCCTTTGAGACTATTTTCTCTGGTTCTTTCCTCCATGAATGTGTAAAGAGCTGCATTTGAAGGCATCCTGAAAACACATTGAAGACTTACAGCTGTCTTATACTCCTAAACATATCTGTTATTTTGGCTGCTTTTTTTACAATCTCATAAATATATAGGGTTACACTATGTCAATTTTACAAACTGAGGAGCACAGAAGTTAAGTCCCTTGTCCAAAGTCAGAGAGCAAATTAGTAGAAAAGCCAGGGCCAGAACCTGGCACTTCTGATTTCTCTCATGGAGACTTCTTTTCCTAGAGGGGCACGTTGACATTTATAACACTGATATTTATGTAGTACTGCTCTTTAGGCTAATTATAAGCCTATCTCTTGATAATTTATCTGTTCTTTTCTGACATTTTGCATAAACTTTTAAAATCACAACATGTACTTTGGGACATAAATTCCTGGGCTCTACCACCCATCTTCTAAACTAATATTACTTTCCATTTCTTATAAAGATCCTTATTCCAGAAATCAAAAAGTGTTCCGTGTTCTAGAAAACACAGTTAAGTGAACAGCCTGTGCCCTGTTTGTCTGCCTCATTGATTCCACCTCTTCTTCCTCCCCAAAGCACAGGAAGGAGCCCTAGGGACAAAGTGGAGAGCTGTTTCGGGGCTTTTATGATGTACATCTCATTTTGAAAAAGTTGTATGTCTGAAAAATTTGAAACCTAGGCACATGGACATGCCAATGAGGACATGCTATCTTCTCCCTAAATCACTGTCTTAAAATAGGGGGAGAAGTAGTCCAAGGGCAGGGGGAGGCAGTCTCCAGCCTACTGCTGTATCCATGTGGTTTCAAGCCACCGCACAGGGCTCCTCATTTCCAGACCCCAGACCTGGCCTTCGGTCATCTCTTACTGTTTTAAAATGTTCTTATTAATACATATTGATTGCATGAATTATTGGGGTTCATTTATATTTCCATGCATTGTCAAATTCAACCTCCCTTTTTCCCACCCTCTTCAAAATACCCCTTTCAATCCATATTAATCACTATTCTGTTTTGAGTTCCAGTTTTTTTTTTGGGGGGGGGGTAAAGTTTCCACATAGAAGAATAGGTGGCACTTGCTTTTCCGGCTAATTTCACTTAATATAATGTCCTCTGATTACATATATTTTGCTCTTTTTAGAGGATTTCATTCTTTTTTGGGGGGAGGGTGGTACTAGGAATTGAAATCAGGGGCACTCAACTACTGAGCCCCAGTCCTATTTTGTATTTTATTTAGAGACAGGGTCTCACTGAGTTGCTTAGCGCCTCAATTTTGCTGAGGCTGCCTTTGAACTCATGATCCTCCTGTCTCAGCCTCCCCAGTTGCTGATTTTACAGGTGTGCACCACCACACTCAGCGACTTCATTCTTTTTTATGGCTAATCCACTATTTTGTATACATACCACATTTTCTTTATCCATTTCAGAGGCACCTAGGCTGATTCCATACCTTAGCTGTTGTGAGTACAGCTGCCATGTGCAGATGACTCTTGTGCAGATGACTCTTTTTTGTATGCTGGTTTCATCACCTTCGAATATATATATAGCTAGGAGTACTTTTAGTTTTTTGAGGAATCTCCATACTGGTTTCCAAAGTGGCTGTGCCAATTTGCATTTCCAACCAGAGTGTACTAAGATCCTATTTTCTCCACATACTTACCATAATTTGTTATTAGCTTTATTTGTTTATCTATCTATTTTGGTAATCACCGTTCTGGTTGAGTTGAGATGGCATCTCATTGTGGTTTTGACTGCGTTTCCCTCATGGCTAATGACATTGAGCATTTTTCATACTTGTGTTGACCATGTATCTGACTCCTGTTGTCACTCCTACCCTTGCCTTCTAAAGAAAGTGTTCCTTTGAGTCTCAAAATTCAAAAGTCTTTATGATTTTTTATCTAAAAAATGCTTTCCCAAATCTACCTAAAACTCCAAGTTAAAACAAAACAAAAAACAAAACAAAACAACAAAGTGAAGTAGAGCTTCTTTAAAGATATTTCTATCTTAAAAGAACATGAGGTGAAGAGATGAGGAGCATACATATGTTTTTTTTTTTTAATTTGGACTAATCTAACTTTAATTTAAATAGAGAATCCCATGGATCTGAGTAGCTTTTCTGGGATGTAAGCAGATAAGGCTCTGTGGCATCTGTTCAAGAGAACTCCAAAGATTAACAGCTGAAAAGGTAGAGAAGGGGTTAGGGGTTCCGTGACTTGAAGGATCCATTGGGTGTAAGGAGATTAGGTGTATTTTAAAGATGTCATACCATGAGTAATGGAACCAGGGACTTCATATCTCAAAGTGTAGGTTGAAACTACAAAAAATTATGCAAAGAGTCAGAGGAGATAGAAGAAGGTAAATAGTGTCTGTCCAGAAATGGTTTATTTGAAAGTCATTATCGGGTTTGACTTAAGAAGTGACCAACAGACTTGGTTTCCACACAGACTGAAATGTCTGTCTTCCTCACTCTTCTCCAGTGTGCTCTGATCTCTCTGATTGACACACAAACACACAAGCACACACATGTATTTCCATCTATGTGTATCCCCGTATCTAGAGGTCTAACTATCTGTCTAGAGAAAGAGTTTTTCCCACTGCTAATTTCTTTAGCTCCTGCTTTAGTACTGTTTTTTTTTTTTTTTTT